GATCTGTAGATCGTCTCATAGAAGATCTGTAGATCTTCTCTTAGAATATTTGCAGATCTTCCCATAGAAGTTCTTCTCATAGAAGATCTGTAGATCTTCTCACAGAAGATCTGTAGATTTTCTCACAGAAGATCTGTAGATTTTCTCATAGAAGAACCGTAGATTTTCTCATAGAAGATCCGCAGATCTTCTCTTAGAAGATCTGTAGATCTTCTCATAGAAGATATGTAGATCTTCTCCTAGAAGATCTGTAGATCTTCTCCTAGAAAATCTGTAGATCTTCTCCTAGAAGATCTGTAGATCTTCTCCTAGAAGATCTGTAGATCTTCTCCTAGAAGATCTGTAGATCTTCTCCTAGAAGATCTGTAGATCTTCTCCTAGAAGATCTGTAGATCTTCTCCTAGAAGATCTGTAGATCTTCTCCTAGAAGATCTGTAGATCTTCTCCTAGAAGATCTGTAGATCTCCTAGAAGATATGTAGATCTTCCCCTAGAAGATCTGTAGATCTTCTTCTAGAAGATCTATAGATCTTCTCTTAGAATATCTGTAGATCTTCTCCTAGAAGATCAGCAGATATTCTCTTAGAAGATCTGTAGATCTTCTCTTAGAATATCTGCAGATCTTCTCTTAGAATATCTGTAGATCTTCTCCTAGAAGATCAGCAGATATTCTCTTAGAAGACCTGTAGATCTTCTCATAGAAGATCTGTAGATCTTCTCATAGAAGATCTGTAGATCTTCTCATAGAAGATCTGTAGTTCTTCCCTTAAAAGATCTGCAGATCTTTTCTAAGAAGATCTGTAGATCTTCTCATATAAGATCTGTAGATCTTCTCATAGAAGATCTGTAGATCTTCTCATAGAAGATCTGTAGATCTTCTCATATAAGATCTGTAGATCTTCTCATAGAAGATCTGTAGATCTTCTCATAGAAGATCTGTAGATCTTCTCATAGAAGATCTGTAGATCTTCTCATAGAAGATCTGTAGATCTTCTCATAGAAGATCTGTAGATCTGTAGATCTTCTCATAGAAGATCTGTAGATCTTCTCATAGAAGATCTGTAGATCTTCTCATAGAAGATCTGTAGATCTTCTCCTAGAAGATCTGTAGATCTTCTCCTAGAAGATCTGTAGATCTTCTTCTAGAAGATCTGTAGATCTTCTCCTAGAAGATCTGTAGATCTTCTTCTAGAAGATCTGTAGATCTTCTTAGAGAAGATCCACAGATCTTCTGAGATCTTCTCTAAGAAGATCTGTATATCTTCTCACTCTTCCTTCCGAAGATCTGTAGATCTTCTCATTGAAGATCTGTAGATCTCTCATAGAAGAACTGAAAATCTTGTCTTAGAAGATCTATACATATTTTCCTAGAAGAGCGGTAAATTATAAAACATTTGGGAAGGACCTGATTTTGGAACTTTTTTAAACTTTTTTTTTTGGATTTTCTGATTTTTTTCCAATTTCGACTTTTAATAACCTTAGCTTCCAAAATATTTGAGTGGCAAAAAATTTAAAATTTTTTGTGTCTTTAAAAAAGAATTTGTTGTTGTTGTAAATTTTGAAACCACATATCTACCAGCAAATAATTGAAATAATTCTGACACATTCGGATCAATTACATTTTCTTCGACATAATGAGTCATGAGATTCATTGCCACCACAATTTTGGGGTCATCATTTGATTGATAAGAAATCTATGTGAGGGAGGGTGGTGGTGGTGGTGTGACTCATAATCACAATTTCAATTTTTCTAATTTTGTATTTTTAAATTTTAGATATGTTTTAAGATATCAATACCGAAAATTGAATGAAATTTTGATATCGCCTTATTTTGGTATAGATTAAATTTAATCTTCAGTTTTAAATTTAGAAAATTTCTTCAATTTAAAATTTTGTTATTTTCATTTTTTTTTGCCTTTTTTTAATTTTCTTTCAAAATTCGTATCCCCATTGAAAATTCATTCAAAATCCAATCCACAATGATTTGCAGTGCTTCGATTTTATTAAAGAAGTTCTATTATTTTTTGTTAACATGTTCTCCACTTATGTTTTTTATTTCAACAATTTCCTCTCTTTCCTCCATTTCTTATGCTCCCAGCTTGTTTTAATTGCGATAAGATTCTTGCCGAGAGATAACAGAAAAACAAAAAACGAAACTAATTTTGCAAAAAAAAAGGAATGGAAAAAGTGCAAACAAACTCTTCATTTTATAATGGGTCGCATTAAATTTTAAACAAATATTTTATTTTTGTTATCACCACGAGCCGAGAGGGAGAGGCAGACACAGAGACGCACTAATAAACACTTGTCGGTTAATGAAACACATGCACACACACACACATGCATGTGTATAGCACTCTCTTCCGTACATTAATTGCCGAAACAAATAATTTGCACATGAGTAATAAGGGGGGAAAGGCATTTATTTAATTTAAAATAATTAAATAAGACATAAAAAAATATTCAAAAATCCTAAGGTAATTCAAAGCTCCATATAAAATTTGAAAAAAATATTTAGGTTCCTTTGTGAATAGGTAAGGATATATATATTGGAAATCCACAAGTCCCCTTGGTATATCCCACAACTAAGATTGACTGTATTTTCAAAAGAGGCATCAAAAACACCCTTTTGTTGACTCGCTTGTTTTAAAATTGCCGACCAAAGTAATCCACGTGTTTTTATATAAAATTTTGGCGAAGACACTATATACCCAAAATGTAAGGATTCCAGGGGATCTTATTCAGAAAATTTAGGTTACATTGTCATGAAAACTTTAAAAACGCCATTTATACCCCCCAGCCATATGCCTAGAGAGGGAATCATTTGATACGGCCAAAACGTGCCTAATCGAAATAACGATTTTAGACACAAGATCTGTTTGGAACAAAACCTTTTTAGGACATTTGCAGTCGATCTCGGGATGTCAGTTCGTCCGTCATCGTAATAGGTTTGGAGATGGGCAATATATGTCCCTCCTTCTGGTACCTCCCCGAGATTTTCAAATTTTCAAATTTACCTCACAGAAAATAAAAAACCGTCCAAATTTGTGCTAACTTTAAAAATCCTAATATTTTTATCAGAGCGAAGTCAGATACGAAAATTGACAACATTTGTCCATCCCATCAGGTACCTCCCACACAAAAGGTCGACATTTGGAATAATTATAACTCTTATAAAATGTGATGTAAGAGTCCGATTGTCTTCAAATTACACACATCACAATATTTTTATTAACCCAAGGTCTGGTGTGAAGATACCACTCTTTTTGTACCTCTCCCACAAGGGGACAAAAATTTTGCAGAATTATATGTCTCGTAAAATACGAAAAATGAATTAAATTCCCCTTAAATTTCAACAATCCCAATGTTCTTAATAACGAAAGATCTGGTGTGAAGATGAGATGTTTCGGACCACTCCTTCTGGTACCTACCCCTGAACGAGTCCAAATTTTTAAATAATTATAACTCTCATAAAATATGAAATAAACTCCCGATTCATTCCAAATGTGAGACTATTTAATATTTCTACTAACACAAGATTTGTGGTGTAGGTCGTCGATATTTCGGCCAATCCTTCTGGTACTTCACACCGACTCTCCGATTCCGATTCTCTTCGATTTTGGCACATCTCAATATTTTTTCCAACCAAAACGCTCATAAAATGCGAAATGAGCATCCGATCACTTTCAAACACTACACATGTCAACATTTCTATCAAAACAAAATCAGGTGTGAATACGGTAGATATCGGACCACTCCTTCTGGTACCTCCCCCACAAACAGTTAATATATTAAATAACCGATTCCATTCTAAACGTTAGACTTTCCAATATTTCTTCCAACACAAGATCTGCTGTGAAAATGAGATATGTAGATCCAACCCTTCTGGTACCTCCCCCACAAAATGTTTAAATTTTAAATAACCGAACAACATGCCAATATTTCTTCCAACACAGACTCTGATATGAAGGTAATAGATATAGGCCCACACCTTCTAGTACCTCGCCCATAACGGGTCAACAGTTAAAATAATTATAACGGAAGGCAAAATATATTTAAATAGCCGGACATTTGCTGAGGATGTACATCTGTCGGTAAAATCGATTGATACTTTTTAAATTGTTTTCATTTATTTTATTTTATTGTATTTATTAATTTTTTTATTTTATTTATTTATTTTATTCTATTTTTAATTTTATTTAAATTTTATTTTATTTAAATATATTTTTTTATTTAATATTTTATTGTTTTAATTTTTTTATTTTTTTTTTTATTTAAATTAAATGTATTTTATTTATTTATTTTATCTATTTATTATTATTATTATTATTATTATTATTATTATTATTATTATTATTATTATTATTATTTATATTATCTTTTTGAATTTTCAGCAAGCACATTAACTTTTTTTAATTATTATTTCGATAAACTTTTTTTAATTATTATTATTTTTCAATTCATTTTTCTTATGTCTCGGACTTTAATTATTAATTTTATTTATTTTTTTTAATAACCATATGAGTTTAAAAAAAAAATAATATTTTATATCTTCTTTCATATATTTTCCTTATAATTTTATTATTTTTTTATTTCAAAACCTTTGTCACTTGGTTTATTTTAATTTCCTTTCCATTAGGTATAAAAGACTCATTATTTCTTTCTCTCTCTTTAATTTTTATTTTTTGGTATTGTCAACCATTGATTTAGTTTACGACCAAACGTAGAACGACCATTTCGGCGCGACAACAAATCGATCGATGTAAAATCGATTTTATTTTTAGGCCAAGACACATTTACTTGAATTTATTTTTGTTTTATACGTTGTAGTTGTTGTTGCTGTTGGCTCTTTTGTGATTTCCTATTTATTTTTAAACATTTGTTTTAATAGAGCACTTTAAAAACACTTAAGCTATGGCGGTGACTATTTTTACATGCACACACACACATACACTCTCAGTGAGAGGAACACACAAATAAAAAAAATTCCTTAAAATTTACATTTCCATTATTAAATGACGAATTATGGCATTAGCCAATCCAACCAATATTTTAATTTAATATTTTAACAAAGAAAACGACTCGAAAACGAACTGATTAACCGGCACTTTTTCAATGTCTCATCATAACTGGCGGATTGGTTGGTTGGTTAGCTGCTAACGTTTCAAGTTTTCGGTAATCACTACTGACTCAACGGTGCTTGGAAAATTTAATACCCTCTTCATCGTTTAACCACCACAGCCGAAGGGAGGAAAAATCGAAACACAAACGACGATAATAACCAACGACACAGAAAAGCTCGTTAAACAGGTGGTATTATTCTGTGAAGAGAGCTTTTCGTTTTATTTTCGTCGGCGAGATTCAAATTCAAAAAGTTGTGACGCGCCAAAACCCGATAACGTTTTTACGGCGAGGGCAAAATGAAACTACAACAAATAAAATAAATTCATAATAAAAAGAAAATAACTGGCCTCCCTTTGTGAGTTATTTGCAAAATTGTGTACTCTCTTTATGGCAAAGATTTCTCTCTCTCACACATAACGTTCTCTCTCCCTTTCCTTGTTTAATCAACAATAAAAATATTTTTATTATTTTTTTATGTTTACAATATTTTATGACGTCGTAATGACTTAAGGCCTTATCGGTTTTTTTGTTCTACCACCATTCAAGAAACATGGTTAAGTATCCATCACACACAGACGAACGCACACACTCTCTCACTACACTCTACAGTTTTTTGTTAGGGTAACACGAATGCACGCACGCACACACGTCACGCCACGGCCACTGCACTCGTGGCTGCACCACGAAGACCGGAGTGTAAATAAGCAATGAAATCAAGAACATTTGTTTTGGTGTCTCATCAGACAGAGCTCAGAGTATTGTTGACAAATGAGAACGAGAAAAAAAAAAGGAATAGAGTAAGAGAGAGAATTGCAATGCATTTGTCTTTTCGTAAATGACTGTTTGCTGCTACTACTAACTGTGCCTTACATTTTGTGCGGTAATTAATGTTAATGTAACTAATAGCTGACTGCATAAGGAAGAGATATACTGACGTTACTCATACGCATACGTTACGGAAGGACTACGTGGGTGGGAAAGAGTATGGGAGAGTTGGTAAGAGAGTGTTGTAAAATGCATGTAAGCCCTAGCAGCACTCAATGTAAACTTGGTGGGTCGTTCTCTAAGGGATTTCAAAGTAAGGAGAATAAACACAAAGACCTCTAAGGGTTGTTGGATGGTTGTGAACGACTTTGTGATACCTTAGACAATAATTCTTTGATTTATTTCAAAAGTAGGTTCAATAAAATTGAGCTCGAGGTCTTTGTTTTCACCAAATGTGTATTATGTCCGCAGGACTTTTGGTATTGAAAATGGACCATGTAGGTCTACGTTTTGGTATAGCACCCATATAATGGTATATCCCTTTTTTCGGTTTTTTGGTGATTTAAGCGACATTATTCACCGGAAATGTTTCAAATTTGATATTTGAAGTTCGTAATGGGTACTACAGCCTACGACAGAAAATTATCTGTGCAGGTCCACGTGATCGTATATCCCTCATATAACGATTCCTCCATATATTCGGTATTTGGATGATTATATATTATTCACCGATTTTTTTTATTCAAGTGACGGGTACATTCCGTATTTTTAAGATTTTAACAGAATGTTTAACGGAATTTTTTTAATTGCCAAAATAGTTCCAAATTTTCTTTGGTGACTTATAGTGAAATTTGATGTAGAATATTTTTGTATTTAAGGTTATCTTTCTAAAATGATGCTTAGTTGGAGATTTTGGTACAAATTCACATAAAGTATGGCCTTAGCCCAAAAATGTGATTTTAATTTTTGTGAATTTTTGGCGTTTAGGTAGGATTAAGACTCCTGATGTCTTCTAGGACCTATAGTAGAAGTTTATAATAAATAATTTTGTAGAATATTTTGACTTGCTAGGATGCCATTTAAAAGGGGTTTTTAATCATATTTTGAAAAAAAAAAAAAAAGAACCAAAAAGACCCTTCAGGTGACTCGCTTGAGGTTTAGCATTTTTAACCAACTAATTCTCTTATTTTTTGTCTACAGAATTGCCGTCGACACTATCTACCTAAAAGGCGTAGATTTCAAGGAATATTAATCCGAAAAATTTTAAAAGTGTGTAAAAGAGAGGAACCTTTCCCCTCTTTTCAGGTTATTTGCGATTTAAACTTTCATCTCCTTTTTTTATACCCTCGACCCTATCGCTACAGAGGGTATACATCGTTTGATATGGCCAAAACGTGCCTCGTCGTTAAAACGGATTTAGACAATAGGTCTCTTTGGACCAAATCCGTTTCAGGACATTTGGAATCGATCTAGGCCTGGCAGGTGCGCACGATAACTCTCGAAGGGAGTATCCGATTCAAATCTTGGTACATCGTTGTGTTATTATCAAACTTGGATCGAGTTCGGAGAGGGTCTTTCCACTCCTTCTGGAGTGGACAACATTTTCAAAATAAAAAAAAAAATCTGCAAAGAAAGAGAGAGGATTATCCGTTTTTGCTCCAACTTTTCATATCCCAATGCATGCATCAGTTACGAAAATGGAAAATATCGGTCCACTCCATCAAGTGCCTCCCCCACAAAGGATCAGAATTTTGAATACTTATAACTGTCATAAAATGTGATGTAAGAGTCTGATTGCCTTCAAATTACACGCATTACAATATTTTTATAAGGCCAAGGTGTAAAGGTAGAAAATATCGGTTTACTCCTTCGGGTACCTCCCCCACAAAGGGTCAACGTTTTTAAAATCCGAAATAAGCATCAGGTTCTCTTCAATTTACTCACGTCACAATATTTTTATTAGCCCAAGGTCTGGCGTGAAGATGGGATATGTCGGTCCACTCCTTCTGGTACCTCCCCCACAAACGGTCAAAATTTTGAATATTCATGAAGCTCATATAACTCGAAATTAACATCCGATTCCATTCAGACTTGACACATCTGAATATTTCTATCAATACAGGACCTGTTACAAAAACGGTAGAGATCGGACCATTCGTTCTGGTACCTCCCCACAAACGGTCAAAATTTTGAATATCTTTGTAGCTCATATAACGCAAAATTAACATCCAATTTCGTTCAGACTTGCTACGTTTCAATATTCCCACCAGTACAAGATCTGTTACAAAGATAATAGAGATCGGACCATTTCTTCTGGTACCTCCCCCACATATGGTCAAGATTTTGAACAACAATACGCTTAAAGAAAGCCAGATAAACATCCATCTCTCTTCAAATTTCACACACAAAAACATTTCTGCTAACACAAGATCTGTTGTGAAGATGATATATATTTGCGAACCCCTTCTGGTACCTAACCCACAAAGGGTTACAATTTTCAACACTTTTATCTCTCATAACTTGCGAAACAAGTCAGCGGTTCATTGCAACTGGATATATCTAAACATTTCTTCAGAAGTCGAAATAAATTTAAATCATTGAACATTGACTGAGGTTATACATCTGCCGGTAAAACCGAATGATACTTTTTAACGTGTTTTGGTTTTAAGTTATGTAATTCAAATGTATCTACTATTGCATACGGTAGGGTACAATATTCCTTCTTTCAATATTACTTCCTATTCTTCCAACCCATTCTCATCATCTACCACACGAATGAAATGTTTGCATTGTCACAACATTAGCATGTAAATTTGTTGACATAAGACCGATGCAGACAATGAAACAAGCCTTGATAATAAAAGAAAAGTCCTTCAAAACAAAAGGGAAGCCTTAAAGTAACATGTTTTCATTAAAACGACGATGTGTATTAGAATTTACAGTGGAACAAGGAGCATTTGGTTTACAAATAAATAATACAAAATTAAATTAAAAAAATATATGGATATACGGAAAATAAGGCTATATATTAAACCAAGAAAAAGTTCGCATGAATCTATAATGGATGTGAAAATTATCCCTTGTTTTATTTTTTTTATTTTTTTTTTCTTGAATATATCCTTAAATTTGAATATTATTTTCAAACCACTGTACCCTTTATTGTTGGCTTTTGTCTAAGTCTTTTATAGCCTTCCCTTGGCAGTTTGTTCTGTCGAAGTTGAAGGACAAACATGTCACCATTCTACCAGTCAATGTTGACAAGGAACAAATCCCACTTCATATAAATAGATTAACAAGATACAATGGCAACAACAAAGGGAAGAAAGCCACACAAAATGGATATGGGCCTATTAAAACCCAACTCAAAATCAACCCTATATATAATGACAATGGCAACAGGGACATGTAACATTAATGCAAGGCAGAGTGGGTGAAGAGCACAAACCAACATATAAGTGAGTGCCTTTAAAAGAGAAGAGTATTGATTTGCCAATCAATGGGCTTCTCAATAACATATCCCTTTATACATCGGCTAAAATCCCTTGTTTAATACCTTCGTCATACATTACGAGTGAGTGAGAGCATTATTATTGCAATGCTCACGAATTAAATGAGTATTATAGGCTATGGCGCTCTGCTGCTCTCTGTGTGGCTCCTTAACGTGTTATTGACTCCTAATAAAAACAGGTTGATGATTACGATGATGGTGCCGATGGTGATGATGAATCACTCATGAAACACGAACATTATTGTTACCAGTAACCACTACTACCACACACACACACATACACCGCTCTCAAGTGGACAACAAGAAACGAAGTTGTTTTGTTTTTTTATTTTGGTATTTGGTCTTGTGCTTTTGTTGCTGTTGTAGGCGTATGAGTGATATGCAAAAAAAAAAAAAAAAAACAATAAAAATGAAACCAAGCCAACATTTCTCAATTTAAGTGCTCATCAAACATTACAGGGAGCTGAATACACTATCAACTACCACCGCCACCACTACATTGATACTTGTCTTTTGTTAACAACATTCATGTTATTGATTTGAAGAGGTGGTTGCTTGCTTTTGCAAAAACAAAATAATAATAAAAAACGTAAGGCCGCTTGGGCATGTTAACTCCATGTTAACGGAGGTTAGGTGAATAATAATTTATTAGGGTGGTTACAAAGAATGCAATGCATCTTCAATTTAAATGGGGTAATTAAAATTCTAAAGGTACTTCAAAATTTGCATTTTTTGGACCAAATAAAATAGTATTTTTGAAGGATAATTTAAGCTACAAACATAAAATAAAAACAAACAGTTTTGAAGAAAAATATGTAGTTTAAAACAACGGAAGAATGTAGTGACAGATAAAAGGAGATCTATGCAAAAATTACTTTCTTAATGAACTACTTCTTCTCCAGAGCTATAATCCAGAATTTTATTGAAATGCAAACTATTTCAGAGCCATAATTATGTATATCTTGAAAAAAAAAATAATTTTCTTGAAGGATCAAGGAATTCATAAAGGAGAACTTAAAGGGCTATCAGAGGTCTTTTTTTAAAAAAAAAAAAAAATTGAATTGAATTTTTTAGCA